GGGGCCGGGGAGCCCGAGCCGGAGCAGGCGGCTTCGAGAGGGGCTTGGAGAGGGACGGGGGGTCGGGGGGGTGGGCGACGAAGGCTCGCTCTCTTTCTCGCGCGCGCGCCTCCTCCTCCGCCTCCGAGAGCCCCAGCCGGGCTAGGAAAACTCCCCCGGCGGCTTCCTTCCCGGGGCTCTTTCGCTCGGCGGCTGGCGAAGAAGACCTGGGCGACGCGGCGCTTCCCGAACCGGGCCGGACCGGAGCCACCTGCCCGGAGGATCTAAACGCAAGCCACGCACACACAACCACAAAACGCCATCCTTCTCTTTGGACTCTGGAATACCTTGTTGGAAACTGTGCAGGATTTAATCGCCGGGTGTATTTTGATTTTTAATATTACTTCAAAGCGAGGAACCTCTCTATTCATCCTCCCCCCAAGCCTCTAATTTTTTTAAAAAAATTTGCTTTTTCGCCTCCTGGGCCATCCCGTTCATTTTTTTCATCTCTCTCTCCTCCGGTCCCTCCTCTCGCGGAGGGGGAGTAAACAAGAGCCACGAGGAGCAAAAGGAATATGAGGGTTTCGTGGGTGACGTTCGCCTTCCTTTGGGGGACTTTCTGCACAGGTAAGCAAACCTTCAAAAATAAGTTTGCTTCCCCCCCCCCTTCCCGCTTTTTTTTTTTAAAGCCTTGAAATCTGCATGGCATCACGAGAAAGGCTATGGAAAAGTAAGTCGCTATGAAACATGTTTCAAAACACCCTTAATATTTTTTTGATTTGAAACCACCCGCCCCTGGCGAAAGGTAAAGAGGAGGTTCAGGCGTTGGTGCTGATTTGTTGTTTATTAAAACAGGGACGAGGAAAACTTTCGCATTTCTGGGCTCTCCGCGTTGCAGTCGCGGCTTTTCTATTGTTGCCTTTCTTCCTCCTCTCTTGCTATGAAACATGTTTCAAAACACCCTTAATATTTTTTTGATTTGAAACCACCCGCCCCTGGCGAAAGGTAAAGAGGAGGTTCAGGCGTTGGTGCTGATTTGTTGTTTATTAAAACAGGGACGAGGAAAACTTTCGCATTTCTGGGCTCTCCGCGTTGCAGTCGCGGCTTTTCTATTGTTGCCTTTCTTCCTCCTCTCTTCTCTTGTGGGAGGACTGGAAAGGAGGAGGGAAGGTTTGGGTGCAAGCCTGGTTGCCTGGAGGCGTGGATTTTGAAACAAAGATGATCGTTGCCCCGAGTTGAGAAAGAGGCAAATCTGGGGCGGGGAGTAAACACGTGTTGAGTTCTCCCCATGCGCCTCGGATGCCATGTGTTTTTCGCCCGCGATCCGGATCAACCCCTTGTTTTCCGGGGAGAAAGCGAAGGCAGGCGTGTGGGTCGGTGGGAGTGGGATCTTGGCAGGCCACTGGAGGCCTTCCATCTCTTTCTCTCTCTCTCCCTCTCTCTCTCTCTCGATTTTCCCAGCTTGAGACCATACTCATTGGCAAGGCATAGAAGTTTGTTTTTTGTTTTTAAAAAAGAATATTGAAACTCGGAAGCCATCCATTACTGACCAATGATATGATGGTGCTCTTTGAAGCAAAAAGGACTTCAGGAAGAGCGGCAGAAAGTTTGGATGTAAAAAACGGGTTGGGTGGGAAGAAAACTCCTGTTCTTTGGATGCGAATTGTGCTCTTGCGGTGGAAAAGGCTGAACCGCGTTTAAATCCGCCGCCGTTTCATCATCTTACGATGCTGTGGCCCTTCCACGTTTTTGTTTTGCTTTTGCACACTTAATGGTGGTTGTCGGTCGTACCTCCTCTCCTTTGGCTTGCCTTCGCCTCTTGCGCAATGAGACCCTTCTTGGAAGCGAGTTCTCAGATCTCGAGGGTTGCCTTTCTGGATTTAGGCCCGGGGGTCGGGGAGCAACGTTCAAACGTTCACCTCCTTGTGAACGTTTTAAACTTTCCCTTTAGTCTGGTCGTGGCTTGGGTGTTTTTCCCCCCCTTCCCTCAAACGCCTGCCTGATCACGATGTAAACAACTGGCTGAAGAACTCGGGCGAGTCTTAAGGAAAGGCCTTACGACAAAATGACTTTTCCAGAGGCATTTACTGTCTTTTTATTGCATCGTGTTTGGCTCGAGAGTTGCTGAATAATAGAACCCCCCCCCCCGTTCCCTCTCCTTCGAATCCCTTGCCTTTGTTCGGGGTGCAGCTTCATTTACATCCGTGCCAGCCTGAACGGTGTCTGGCTTTTAATTTTTTTGTTTTGTTGGGGGCCCCCCTTGGAGGGCCGCAGGGGTTAGGGTTGGGGGGCGGCGGCGGCGGCAAGCTGGATCTCAAGGCGAGGGCCGGGGATTGCTCATTGTCTTGGCGGGCCATGGATGTTTCGCAGCCTCAGGCTGGAACTTTTTTGTGCCGAAGCCTTTTCTCTTGTTATGGAAATGTTTCATTATTGTGCCACCGCATTGATCCACTGTAAATCTCCTTTTCTCTGCCCGCCCCCTATCCCAGCCTTCTGGGAGGAGGAGGAGGAGGGGGGGAGTGGATGATGGGGCAAGGCTTTGGAGATGGGAAAAAGCGGAGAAGAGAGGAGGGGGGCGGCGGTTGCGCCCTTCCTTTGGCTGCTCCTGGTCTCCTCGCCGGAGCCATGGCTGCCCGCCGCCGAGCCCTCGTGCCCTGCCGGGGTTGCCTTGCTTTGCTTTGCTTTGTTGTGCTCGGCTTTCCTCCACCTCCTTGTTTTGATGACTTTGGGAGGCGGGGAAGGGCTCGGGAGCGCCCGAGAGAGAGAAAGAAAGAAAGAGGAGGAGGCGGTGGAGGAAACCGGGGCCCCCCTTTTTTGGGGGGGTTTTTGGAAATTTGGAGACGCGCGGTGGAGGGCTGCCGCGAGCGCCCGACGCGCACACCGAGATACAGTGTATTTATGTTTCGGAGCTGGAAGCGCCGCACTCGAGGAAGCCACACGCGGGCTGGTGTGCGCGCAACGCACGCATCTCGTGGCCACGGAATCATCATAACAGACGCTGACGTAACTGCCCGGCCCCGTAGCATGATGGCGTGGAGGGAGCGAGTGGCCGCTTTTAAAGCCGCAGAGCGCTCCTCTCGGGTCCCGAACCCTTCGCTGGGCTGGCCGGGGCGCAAGGACGGCGTTCCTCGTCGATTAACCTTTCCGGCCCCGAGCCCGGGTCTCCTT